CGTAATGATTTAGTTGCATAGGCTTACCTTGTTGCGTTTGCAGGTGGCATTATTGTATGGTACTTGCGTATCTTTTCGTGTTACTTGCGCACACGGTGGTAGGCATGCAAGATAAGGCGAGGCAAGGCAAGGCAATACAGAAGGGGAGAATGTGGAGATTGCAATTCGCATGCTTAATACTGCAATTTGGTTCTATTGTAGGTTGCGGTGATGGGTGCATGTTTACCCTTGCCCGCTGCCATCACGTATGTGAAGAGGAAATTGGCGGTGATGGGTGTCTGCCCTGGTGCCACTGCTGTTGCCACGCCAACAGAAGTGGTGTCGGCAGAGAATGAGGTAACGGAGGGAGAGGCGTTAGATGTCGTACGTCATCAACGGGAGCAGGTAGACAGCGGCGGCGACATCGATATGTGAGTGGAAGGAAAGGAGGTGGATAGTGATTATTAATTGTGTAGGTACGCTATGTCCAACGATGGAGGGACAACAGTGCATGGCATGTGAAGACGTACCCTGACTAACTTACCTCTTTTATTAACTAAATTTGTCGTACTAAACTTTATCGTTGTTCCACAGAATTGCTTGACTGACTTGTGTTTTCATTGCCCCCCCCCCCGTAGTAAGCAGGCGATGGCGCGATAAGGCATCGTAGCTGACGTTTGCAATTTGTGTCCACTTACTGTGCCTGAGGTGGCGTTGGAGGGAATTCCCAAGGGGAGGAATGTATGTAGGCGCAAGTGGTAGTGTCTGCAATTGGAGGTGGCTTGATGCCGTGCGCGCTTTCCTGTGGATGCACGTTAGTAGGGTGGCTAGTGAGTGGGTGGGTTTGTTGGTGTCTGGTTGTCTTCATTTACTGTCCGTAACTTCTCAGTGCTTTCCTCGCAGCGATGGATAAGTTGCTTAGCTCCTCACTGCAAAGTGCAACCAGGTTACATGGGCTGCAGTCGCGGCTCCTTGTTGCGTCTTCAGCATTAGCATGGCTGTGTGGGAGGTGGGTTACCGCATAGTGTCGAGTAACCAGTCCGAACCAGCGTGTGGTTGTGGTGGTTTTGCTGGCGGAGGTGGTGAAGGGAGTGTCATTGTCATTGTTGTTGTTGTTGTTGTTGTTGTTGGTGGTGGTGGTGGTGGTGGTGGTGGTGGTGTAGGAGGAGCGGTGGTATGCACAAAGTGGTTTGGTTACTTGCCTCCGGTAGACGGATGGATGGATGGTCTGGCAGACCGGTAGACTCGGTGTGGTGGTTAAGGTGGTGGCAAGGTTCCTCCCACCCGTTCAGTGCGTCACTATTACTGTCGTTGTCGCGATGATCGTCGTCACCTCGTCT